CCTCTCCCACCTCCTTTTCCCAGTCTCCCCCAGTTTTGTTCAATAAAGAGAGATTCTATTTTTGAACACAATTGTTCTTTATTTTGTACATCAGGAAGGGGGGCTAGGGAGGTGTAAGTGGAAGGAGGTGAGGGAGGAATGGGGTATGCGCCCCCGATGGGGAGGACTGTGCTGGCTCTGTGGGCTTCTGGGGGTGGAACCTCTCCTGCAGCCCCCCAATTGCCCCCTCTCCCCAGATGGCAGCCTGCGGCAAGTGCAGCCGGGCTGATGGCCGAGTGCTGTGATGTGCCTAGTGTGGGTACTCCAGGCAATCTGAGCCAGGACTGCTTTGCAAGCGGGGCACCCCTGAGAACTGTCTGTCCGGGGTGGGGGTCGGGACCCTTTGAGCACAGCCCTCGGCTAGCCTGAGACAGCAGCTCCACGCTCTAAGTCCTCATCTGATGCCCTGCTGGCACTGCTTCCGGCCATCCTTAACCTCGGTTCAGGGTCCACTCAGTGTGGACATGCTAGTTCGAATTAGCATTTTGCTAATTCGAACTAGTTTTTTAGTCTGGATGCGTTAGTTCGAATTAGCTTAGTTCGAATTAACTAATTCGAACTAAATTAGTTCGAATTAGCACTGTAGTGTAGACATACCCTTAGAGAGTGCAGAAGGAAAACCATGCTGTGAATACCTGCACTCCAATCCTTCAACTCAAGGGGTATATTTGTATATAGACATTGGGAGATGTGGCGTGGGCACCTGATAATGATACTGGAAATAAGTGGCAAGGGCCTGGAGAAGACTGAACCAAGGAAGAGTATTTGTTAGGTCTTTAATGAACATCTTGGACTTGGGCTAGCTGTGGGGCTGCTAATACTCAGAGTATGCTATTAATTATTCATCCCCTCTCCCTTTTTCGCTGATATAGAGATTCGAGAATGATTTTCCTTTCATGTGAATTTGGCTAGCAGGGCTAGAGAGTGTCTGCCAGGTAGTCTTTTCTGCCTTCCTGGCATCAAAGTAGGAAAGGAGGAGAGTTTAGGACCAGAGTGCACAGCGAGGGAGAATTCTCAATATACTACAAGCATTATGATGTGTGGCTTGGTGTTGGATCCGAATCAAGTCTGGTTCAATGGGTATGCTGACGAGAGTTGCTTTTTCCTGTTTAAATGCATTGTTCAGAATGCCATGTGGCTAGCGGGAGAGAGTGAACCAAGTTCTCCAGGACAGTGCCTAATTCCCAATGAAGCCCATAGAAAATCAGGGCTGGGATTTTTAAAGCAAACCTAAGAAATCAAGATTACGTGTCTTCATTTGAAGATGCTATAGCTCAGCCAGAAGTTATGCGCTTGATGGAGAAACTGGGGGAAATTCTAGTCTGTGCTGTGCAGATTGTGATCATAATAGCTCCTTCTGGCCTTAAAATCTACGGGCTCATCTAAACAGCAGGGCAAATGTCGAATTAAGATACACAACTTCAGCTACGTCAATTGTGTAGCAGAAGTCGAAATAGCTTAATTTGGCTTTTGGCGCTGTCTACACAGCAGGAAGTCGAAGGAAGAACACTCTTAGTTTGACTTCCCTCATTCCTCATGAAATAAGGGTACGGGAGTTGGAGTAAGAAGTCCTCCATGTTGACATGATTTCAAAATAATGGCTTGCTGTGTAGACATGCATTTTGTTATTTTGAAATAACATCAGTTATTCCGAAATAACGCTGCTGTGTGGACATACCCTATGGGAATAAACACCCCTGTTTCACTGTTTCTGAGGGGAGTAAAGGCTTTTGTAAGTGATCACCAGGAACATCTAGTTTGAGCTTCAGTATAACATAGGCCATGGAATTTCATCCCGTAATGCCTGCAGTGGAGAGAATTATTCTTCCCTATTATGCAATGGCCTCTCTACTATACAAGTTATGTTGTTTAGATGCACAGCCCTAGAAAAACAAAAGCAGACTTTTCTACTGTATGATGGATGCAGCATTTTGACTGATTAACTTTGCTCTTTTGGCAGTTTTTGGAGTCTGAATAACTTTGCCTTGATGAAGAGGGAGAGAGGTTCTTAGAAAGGTGTTTATCTGAACAACTCATGTATGCTGGGCACAGCAGAACTATGATGCTAGCAAGCTGCCAAAGCAGTGTCCTCCAATGTTATTACCCTCAAGTACTGAGTTCCTAAGCAAGAATTCCTAGCAAGACTTCAAAGTTCCCCTTTTTGTATGCTATGTTACAAAGAGAATAAAAGGAGTAAAAATCCAGCTATTGTTTTTGTATAAAACTGTTGAGTTAAACATTGCTAACTTATCAGAAAAGCCCAAAGCTGCTGATATGAGAGACCATCTGCTAAAAATATATATACTATCATGAGAGAGCTCATCTCAGGTAGTGGGTTTCTCTCTCTCTCTCTCTCTCTCTCACACACACACACACATGCACGCACGCACACATTAGTCTCTAAGGTCCTACAGGACTACAGACAAAATGTTTAAAGCTATGTTCATCTACTTTCAGTCTTGTTTGAATCCCAGTGCTGGACAGATGCAGTTGAAATTAACATTTCTGTATTTATTTTCAGACTGGATATTTCCATCTGCCTCATGGAGACTACTTCATTGAGCCTGTTAAAAAGCATCCAGTGGAAGATGGAACACCACACCCACACATAATCTACAGGACAAATATCCCTCAAAATGCTTTAAGGCAACGGCGGGAGACCACAACAGGCAAGGCACAAGTTTGTGGATTGACTGGTATGAATTTTGTTGGAGCTTTTTGCTTTTTTGTTGCCGACTTATTTAACCTAATCTAACCTTTCCTGCCTAGATATTTACACCCTTCTTTTTCAAGTGCATTACACTGAAAGGTGTGCCATAAATACAGTTTTGTGACTTACTGTATCTGATATTTAGAGTTTCTTGTATGTTTTTTAAGCTTAGTGTGATTTCAACTTTATATTTCATTAGAGGTAAAGCTTGTGAGTATCCATCTGATCCATTCCTGGTGCAGCCCTTTTGCAGTCACACCCAGACAGTACTCAAATAGGTCCAGATGCTTGCAGCCAAATCTTCAACTGGTGTAAATCAGCAGAATCCCATTGATTTCAGTGTATCTAGGTGCACTTACACTCTGACTTCAGTGATACCATCTTCCCATTCACACTATCAGAAAAAAACTAAACAAAATCATACCATGTTTTAGCTTAAAAACAAATAGTTCTGCAGCACTTTAGAGACTAACAAAACATGTAGATGGTATCATGAGCTTGCATGGATACAACCCACTTCTTCAGATGAATGAAGTAAGGGCTCCAGGGGTGCACTTACACTCTGACTTCAGTGATACCATCTTCCCATTCACACTATCAGAAAAAAACTAAACAAAATCATACCATGTTTTAGCTTAAAAACAAATAGTTCTGCAGCACTTTAGAGACTAACAAAACATGTAGATGGTATCATGAGCTTGCATGGATACAACCCACTTCTTCAGATGAATGAAGTAAGGGCTCCAGGATA